TTGTTACATTTCATTATTACGAACAATATTTTTTTGTATAGAGCAGCCTTGGGTGTCAAAAACACTAAGTATGCCACATTGCCCTCATTCTTATATGCCAACTTACTGTTCACACTAGTGCAACATAAGCTATACTACCTGTGACTTGAAAGTTATTTCAAGGGTTCCCCCTCTAAAAATGTTTGAGAAAGGCTGGAAAAATGACTAAGAGTCGTGTCCGTACATATTTTTTATTTAGAAGCCATAAGGGGGCTGGTGGCTCCATGGTGTCACTGTGACCAGTCCCTTTTGGACCGCTGGAATAGTTTATTGAAGCTTGTACCACATCACTGGTGTCCTGCCTAAGGTCCGGTCCCACTGATGCATTTCACCCAATCACAGGCTTAGTCATAGCATAATTGGGAGAAACGTTTCAGAAGGCCGGACTTTGGGCAGGACATCAGTGATGTTGTATAAACTTCAATAAACGATTCCAGTGGAATCTGATGTACGGACAGCTTTTCTTCTGTTTGTATGAGGCTGTTATGGGTTATTGCAATCTTTACGCTGCTTTCTTAATTCACTTTATAAGCCTGTAATCTAAATATTTTAACAATGCATTGTAATCGTTGTCAAAGCAGACAGCACATATATGTCAGGTGAAGAGACACTGAAAGATAATTCAATAATTCAGTGCAATGAGCAATGTCCACTATCCAAAAGCAACCGAATACATGTGATTTTCTTGAGTAAAATCAATGAAAGATCATTAGGAGTTACCATACTTTGCTCTACTGAACAAGCTGTCTATTTAAGTCAGATATATAATTCTAAACATGGTATAGGTATATTTTATCAAGCGACAGACTATAAAAATACGGCACTACAAAATTATATCATGAGGGGTATTTTTAAATACATTTAAACTTCGATTGCTCCTAAAAACAAGAAGTATTTTTTCGTTGCATTAAAATGGTCAATATTGCAGTGACATTATCCGGTGTCCTCTGGACTTTGTCGGGGTTTATAACCGGCCGCCTTCTCCTCGCTGCTAGCAAAGCCACACAAGAGTTTATTACTTACTTTCAAAGTGGGCCTCATTTTTCAAACTGTCTGAAAGAAGAACAGTATGCATTGCCTCACAGCCATCAGAATTAGACATTCGCTTCCCATAATTTTCCCATCTGATACATTAGGTCACATGTGTGTATTAAAGTGACCCTCGGAGCCAAGTGTTTTGGTGAACTGTTTCTTTTATTGTGTATCACTCAGAGTTGTCGGAGATAAACATCACCATAGACTCCTGCTACTATGTACTTTGGGAAAACACTGGCTGAGGGAGACAGTGACATTTGTTCTAATCTTCCTCACGTGGTAACACTTGCCGCCAGGCAAGATACCTATTTTCTCACTGTAGGAAAGTCTTTTTTGGTTATGGCTATCCATGGTCATAGATACTCAGTGGAGTACTTGACACAACTTGGTCCAGTGGCATGGTGCACAATTTTCATTCGGCCTACCACCTTCTTACGGCCCTGCTTAGGACCCACTATAAAGGAGAGGATACAGAGCACATATACTGGACAGTAGAGCTGTGTAGCGATGCTAACAGCTGGGTGCAGTAATACTTTTTCCACATGTCCCTTGTGCTCGGTCATATGACCTAATTTGAGGTTGCTACACCAAGCATCCCTGCACCCGGTCTGTAGTTGTCTTGTTCAGCTCTGCCACCTAAGCACATACAGACACTGCCCTCCACAGTGGGTGTTGGACCTGTCCAGAGCCTCCTAGAGCACTACTGTGGTCATGGGTTCTATGCCACTGCCTTTGATGCTGCATCATCTCTTTCTGGAGCATTCAGGTTTTAATGTTTATTAGCTGGGGCATCCAAGTTGCCAATCCAACAACAGAATTATTATTTTTTATTCTTAAAGTACCTCATTTGTGAGTGTCTGAGGGAAGAGCTGTCTGATAGACTATGCCAGATAGACTATGCAGATTCTCAGAAGTACCAGTGCCTAAATTCTGAGAGCGTCTGAGGCAGGGGTAGCCAAACTCCGGCCCTCCAGCTATGGTGAAACTACAAATCCCATGAAGCATTGCAAGATTCTCACAGCCACAGACATGACTCCCGGAGAGAGATGCATCATGGGTTTTGTAGTTTCACCACAGCTGGAGGGCCGGAGTTTGGCTACCCCTGGTCTAAGGGAACAGCTGTCTGCTGGTCTATGCCGCTCAACAGCAACCAACCAGCTCCTTGGAAGTACCAAATTATTTATTTAATTGCTTTAGGGTAATACAAACTACCACACAGAAAAGCAGGGGTGTGAAATTAAGGTAAATGTATGCTGCTGCAGGGGGATAAATTAAAATGAATCTGTTGCTTTGCCCTGTATCATCAAAGCACTGATTTATTTTAAGTAGCTGCAAATGATTTTCTACCCAGCTACCCCCCACAAATACCCTCTGGCTGCTTAGATGGCACACATGACGGGGTGCTCTGCTTTCTCATGACTGCCCTACCTACTGATATAGCCAATCCTAAATTTCAATAAGCTTATGACCATCGCAAGACAACAGTCTTGCGATGGTCGTAAGGTGTATGGGCACCTTTAGACTTCATACAGAATCTCAAGATGCAAAATGATGTTATCCACAACAAGTAATGCTGGGAATAACAAACGTAAAGAAGTCACCAACCATATGCAGTCTACAGATGAAAGGAAACCTATGTTGAGTGAAACAGACTCCTATTCCCTGTACTTTTCCTGAAAATACCATCTGCCTGTCTGCCACTCAGATCATCTGCATTCAATACTTTCTGAGCCACTCATATGGAAATGCATGCAGCCAGTGTCAAGGGTAATACAGACATTACTATGCTCCTCCTGAAAAATGCTTAATGTCTAGTAGTCATGCCTGATCTTCTGACGTCAATTCTGAGTCACTGACCCAAAGCATGCATGCATGCAACCAGTGGAGTAAGAACTCCTGATTCACATGGTTGTTTCTTGGTCAGTGACTCAGATCTTCCTATTGACTCTATTAGATCAACATGACAGCTAGACAACAAGCATTTTCAGGGGAGGTCTGAAAAGTCAGCCTTCATATTACTCTCAGCACATTTCCTTAAATTAAGGATGAGGATGGAACTCCTGAACCTTAGATATGTTCATTTGTTGTAGATCAAAGGCTTAGAATGTACTGAAGCTATCAGATTAACATGACAACCAGCTAGAATTTTCTGAAGGAGGACTCTCGTTAGCACAAGCATAATTTATATGGTGAAAAAAAAGATCACATATTTAATCTTCTACAAAGAAATGATATGGTGGTTATGGAACTAGAACACTTATTCTAGAAGTCTATAAGAATCTTCTTGGTATTTAAATCACATACAGGTTTCAGTTATTGTAAATCTAGGTCAACCTGGCATGCGGAAAACCCACATCCAACGACAGAGACAAAGAATTCAGAACATGGTCATGGCTCTCAGACTGACAGCAAAGAATATATAAAAATATAACTATGAATGAGATGGTCAATTCCTGAACCTCATTTAATTAATTTGTAACAATACGAATGTGAAACATCTGCAACAAAAAGTGCATTGCAGCAAAATGAATCTGAGAAAATTCTTATCACACATGCTTGCTTAAAGCGAAACATGGACAAGCTATGGACATTTAAGTATTAACATATTCTTAACAAAAAATATTTTTGCTTTAGGAATAACCTCTCATTGACCTCTGTAGCTGCAGGCATTGTGGAGAAATGATTTCCTAAAGTTCAATGCAGAAGTACTGAAATTGTTCGAGTCTCTAAGCAGCTCGGCTCACCCTGCTCCCTTAATCAGCAGTGACTTAGCAGCCTTCTGTTACAGGCTTCTAATTTCAATGTAAACTTGGAGCAGGTACTGGCAAGAGGAAGATCTGAGCTGCTGGGTCATTGCTGAGAAAAAGAGCCGAGTGAGCTGAGCTGCTGAGTCACTCCCGAGAGGGAGAGCTGGGTGAGCGAAGTTGCTAATTTACTGTTGAGAGGGGAATCAGAAGAAGCTGTGCTGGTAAGTTAACATAGATTGACATGGTGATGTCCAGCTAATGGAGTGTCATGTGATAGGGTAGCATCAAAGCTGCATTGCTCCTAAATTCAGAGCAGAGTTGGCACTCTCATGTAGGCTGTGCCTGGTGGCACTACAGTGGTATAAGTAGATCTTACAAGATCTTATAACTTGTCAATCAGCACCTGGTCACACCTAGTCCTGTCCACTGCTTTCTAGATTGACAGCACTGCCTCTGCTTCTGAAACTCTCCCACCGTGAATTGCAGTGTCTGGGAGGGAGAACACGTGAGACACAAATGAAGGAGCATTTGGCTCAGTCAAGGCAGGTAAAGGAAAGCTTCTGATTACTTTACAAGGCTTGCGCATCACAGAGGAACTGGATTTGGGACTTGCTTTGAGTGCAAACATGAGCCTTTACATATACTTTAAGGGCCTTGGGCAATATCAGTGCTTCTCCTATAATATTTGAGGATTAATTGCTCCAATGTGCCTTTAACTAGAGGTCAGTGCAGCCTTTTTTTTAAAGCTCATTTGTTGTGTATTAAGAATACAAAAATAACTGAATGTCCAGAACCTGGCTACAGGTTCACTTTAGGTAAACGTAAATGCACCACCACAGAATTTGATTTTGCTCTGGATAGAAGATGGTGGAGTGACCTATGTGCAAAATGACACATCTGCATCCTCTGTGTAAAGGTCCAGTGATGTTATCATATTTGGCGATTTCCTTCCCCTTACTGCTCACATCTGTGTAAAGTCAGTAGATTCAAAATGGCATAAACATTTGGCAGGATCCAGGAAGAGAAGATGAGTGGGCTAACAACACCCCCTAAACTTTACAACCATCGACTGTCATCTGGGGCAAGAGTAATATAACATAAAGGCTGACCCCCATCCACCTCAACCCAACTCTAAACTAACCCTTCTGTGTGAAGGTTCCTTTAAATTCACCGTTTTTTTGGTTGTACAACATAAGAAAAAAAAAATCACCTCTACAAAAATATGTTGTTTATCAGCTGACAACGTAACTACAATAAGTTAAGTTGGCGATTTTACAGAACAGAAAGCGGTGTTTTACTAAGAAAGGCAAACAAACATAAAAACCAAACCATCAGAACCAATTATATACATAAATTATCAATAGTTAACTTTAAATAAAACACAAATAGATACAAAAGTGCAATTGTCACATTATTACTTAAACTAAATTTGCAGACTTCGGCATGATCACAACGATCGCATAGTTAAGTGAAATGGCAGAATACGGGTCACATGGTATATATTCTGGATGAAATGTGCGCTGTGGCATTTGGAATGTTACTCTCTGCGCGCGCGAGATGGAAGTTTCGGAATTCGGTATATGGGCCATAGAGCCTATATACCAGTTTATGTTACATAACAACAAAAAAACACAACAGAACCAGATTGGAAGCAGTGGGACAGACTCCTTGGAATACCTCATTGCATAATTCTGGATACGGCTAGCGTGTCCCAGACGTCTTTTAAGGTTACCGCAGATGTGAAGACGGAAGTAGTGGAGAGTAAAGCCTTCATACTGGTCTGACGAGACATCAGACTTCATAGATTTTGTCCTGTAAATAGCTGAATAAGGAGTCCAGGCCTTTGGGGGAGCTCCATAGCTGTTTCAACATTTGACATTCCCGTTCGTTCACATCCTCCAGCACCGATTTCAGGAAGCTTCTCACAAGACACTTGGATTCCTCTAATACCTGGAGAGAGACATTAGCAATGTAACTTAAAGAGAGGAAGTGATGTCATCCTAGGACAGGACTACAGGGTACCTCTCCCTCTCCATATTCTTGTAACAAAGGGGAAGGTGTTCTGTAATCCACAAAGAGAACTGGGAACAATGCTAACTGATAACAATCAGCATGGGCAGAGAGCACAAGATTAGCTCACTAGATTTCAGGCAATATCAACACTTTCAATGTTATATTTTACAGACCAAATGGGAGCAAATTAGAGAAGTTCATTGTGAGAGTTCTCAACCTATCCACTGAACTATCACTTTCCTAAGAAACTTATCCCCACACAGCTACCACCTTTTGTATCACCGGCCCCTTCCCTTTAGATTGTAAGCTCTCACGGGCAGGGCCCTCCTTACCATCTTGTCTTGAATTGTACTGTAACTGTAATCTCTTCCTTATATTGTAAAGCGCTGTGCAAACTGTTGGTGCTATATAAATACTGTATAATAACAAGAATAATGTGATCTTACCACAGCACTGCAGGCAGCCATCTCCTTTACGCGCAGCATCACTTCCTGGCTGAACGTGGTGGGCCAAAATACCTGCGATACAAGCCCCCTGCTGCACGCCTCCTGTGCCGTCAGCTTCCTCCCACAAAACAACATCTCATTGGCCTAAAAGAGAAATGTGTGGAAGTTCATTATCAAGCAAGTATTTGGTGTATGTATTCCAATGCAAAAAACTGTTGTTACTGGCAATACACCAATGTTGCATTGTTACTTTTTTTTTTAAACATGTTCGCCCATTTTAGATTGTGAGCCCTCCTTACCATCTTGTCTTGAATTGTATTGTAATGTCTTCCTTATATTGTAAAGCGATGCGCAAACTGTTGGCGCTATATAAATCCTGTATAATAATAACAATAATAAGTGTATTTACATGATCTCAAAAGTCATAGCTTAAGATCATATAGATACATGTAATGTTCATCTCACTACTGAGGCACATTTGATTTCTACTGAGCTATCACTAGATAGTTCCGATTAGCCTGTACTGACCAAGAACTCAAGGTCCCTGGTCATGTATTCACCAAGCCAGGGAAAACAGCTTGCTATAATGTAGTGGAATAAGCTCTTACAGTAATCACTGTATTTAATTGTTAAAAAAAATTATTTTATGCTGTTCTCTTGACTGAGTATCCCTTTTTGTTGGTATTGTTTGCCAAGGAAAAGTTAAACTAGTCAATTAACCGACCAGATCAAGTATCACAGAGCAGTATATATGGCCAGAACCTTAAACTGGTGCAAACACAGCTCCAAAAGACATTGGATTCAATTGGAACAAATTACATAGGTACATAGTATTTGAGGTTGAATAAAGACACAGGTCCATCAAGTTCACCCTTTGTGTGTGTGTGTGCGATTGTGCATGTGTATGACACCTGGTGACAAGGGAGCATGGAGACGGCTTCCGTGCTAAGCGGGAAGCCGGGTGGCGACTCATTACACGCCACCTGGCTTCCTTAATGGGACTTCCGGTATTGGTATTCGGCGAGTACCGTTAACAAAATATCGGTACTCATACTCGATACCGAAAAAAACGGTATAGATGCATCCATACTGTTAATGCATAGTAAGACATGCCAGCAAATTCTTCATGCAGACTTAGTAAGTAAAGTGACTGAGAGATCCACTTTAAGACTTTGGTTGCTGAATGTAATTGGAAGAATTCAGTCATGACACATATTTTAGCAATGCAAAAAAAAGTAATTGGGGAGTAAACATACTTAGCTTGGTAAAAAACTCACCAGTGCAACGCCGAGTATCTGAGGAAAGGTGTATGAAGAGCACCCAGCTGGAGTCATACGGATAGTGGCATATGGAGTCTGGAACCAAGCCTTTTCACTGGCCCATACTATATCACACAAAGGTAAGATGGACGCCCCTAGGCCAAGGGCTGGCCCATTGATGGCAACCACTATGGGTTTCTTGAATTGAATAAAAGCTTTTACAAAGTCCCTGAAAAAAACAAACAAACAAAATATCACTGAACTCTGATGACAGAATGAAGGGAGCTTTCGTTTTTAGCTCACTTTGGCATAGTTTATCAGCTATCATTCCACCTAGAAAAATATCTTCCTCAGGTAAACACCTTAACAGACCGCTAATCAGAAATTACAGACAATCCGTATATTTGATATTAAATCAAGACTTTCTAGAAAGTCAATTGAAAATACAGATACTCTACTACAAAAATAAATGTTTTTGCATGTATCAGCAAGGCACAGTGTTTTTTTAGGGTGTACACCTGATGCACAATTACAGAAGCATTTGGCACTGGCCTCCCAAATAGCGTGCAGCTGCTCATATGTAACTTAGTTGTCTGATTACAATTTACTCTGACTCTGCCATGTCACCATGCCAAATACAATATCATTATTCTAATATAACTGATATAGCTCTGCTACCAAATATTAGACCCACCTCTCCTTTGGGCCAGGTTACTGTTGCAGTGTTGATGCCAACATGAAAGCAGAACTATGGTCTCCCATTAAAAAAAAATTGTTATAGCAATTAATTGTATCTGTACTTTCAGTTCTGTCCCATGCAAATAAATGTTGATCCTACCAGTGAAGTGCACCTAATGCCACTTCCCATGGGGTGACAAATCTGCTCCACTGCTCCTAAATTCAATGCAGCATTGTTGCCCTCTTTTAGGCTGTCTCTGTTTCTTCTACAATGGGATGAGAAAATGTTGCAAGGGGTATGGCTGTCAGCATCGTCACTGCTGATATACAAGCCTGTAACCTGTCAATCAGCACCTGACCCCACCGAGATAGATTGAGAACTGAGGGTTTCCAGAACTGCCTCATAATATTGCACTAGGACAATCAGCAGGTATGCTGCTGTCTTTAAAAAATCTTTTACAATGTCAAAATTTCCGTGTTTGACCAAATCATCCTACAAAATTGTGAATCTGAGTTTAATTTACATAATTACATAAGCCTAAGGTTAGGCTATATGGCTATGTTACTGTTATATGTCAATGGTGCTTTCACAGACTTGCACGATGGAGTCACTGACACTCACAGGAGGGTGTGCCAAAGGAAACCTGTACTGGGCAACTATGAAGGTGGTAATTAATAAACTCTTATGGAATTACTAGTTCTCTGACTGTCAAACTGGTCTAACTGCTTCAATGATGATACACTTCACTACAAGCTGCTGGTGAGGCCACCAGTAATGGTAATTTCTCAGAAGATGTTCCAAGTGACCACTTTTAGGGCCTGTGTCAGTGGGCTTTGGGTTAGTGTCGAGGGCATACATTTGACTTCCGTTTCAGATGCTTCTAAGATTATTCAGAGTTCATTGATAGGTGCATCTGACCTGCAGGTAACCTCCTTCTGACCTACTTCAGGCAGGTTTTCCATTCCATGCCTTCCGCGCTATGCTAATAGCGTATCTTCTCAGAAGCTGCACGCAGCGCGCGCCGGTTTAAATAGTAACCAGCACACCCTGTATGCAACTTCTAACAGCATGGGAGACGGTAGGCTGCGCTTGTTGGTGGATCCAGGAATCAGGTGATGGCGGAAAAAAATGTCTGCCCCGGGCGCCCATAACTCTGGTTACGCCACTGGTGGGGTGTCACAAGACAGCTGGCTTAGGGGTGTAGGGAGAATAAATCCAGCTTAATTAGGCCCCTAATGTTCTTTTCTCCTGTATTATACAAGTCTTATCCTTGACATGCCACTTCCCCTGATTGCATGAGGAACACTCCCATATCCCAATTTTGTTGCTTGAGAGCATGTGCCAAGACTAATTCCAGTCAAATTCAACACCCACTTTAACAATCCCCAGCTGATGCTTAAAGGAACCATAGAAGCCAATTTTAAAGCAGTAAAATATTTATAATATTCTTATATAGTTTGGCACAATTCAAGCTGCTTTCTTTTATTTAATTGTAATAAAATTTAGCTTTAATTTCAAGTTTTTTTCTTAATTCATTAGAAAAGCCAGTCTCCCTGGGACTCCGGGGAGAGAGATAACCATACCTTATAGCTTCTGCAATCCTTGTGCTTTCCTTCCTCCTGTCTGTAGACAACCTCCCGATGAGATATGAGTAGTCTAGCCCGCTACAGAATACACTGCCAACGGCACTGAGCAGAAGGAGCTTGCTGTCATCGGAGGAAGCATTACACAGAGCCCTTCGCACTTCTTTCATAATCTAAGTACAGAAATAGAGATATGTTTTAATATAAGTGAACAGCCCAAAATCTGACAAGAGGGGCTTTCTTTACAGTCAGGGCTTAATTTTTATTGAAAGACTGGGTTGACTAATTGATAAGGTTTGTTCTTAGAGTAGACCTGAACTAAAAATGCCCTGGAGGCTCTGACATGAGTAAGTAAAGCCTTGCCTTTACCAAGATGTTCGCCTCCACACAGAGACACAGTGCAACACAGGGGACTGTATATCAATAGTGGGTAAAAACCAGCTGCTGGGAGACCACAGAAATACTGGTAACTAGCCCTTTACGCTCTGCTTGCCTTTTTTGGACACTGCTTCTAGAGTTCAGTACTCCTTTAAATTATCTAATTAATCCACAATTCTGAAAACATGACCATCCTATAGGAGAAGCTTCATGAAAGTGGTAAGTCACTTGCACATATACACAACAGATACAAATGTTTCTCTTGCAAACATAACATGCCTAGAAATGGCTGTACAATACTGAAAAACATTTTTTTTTCATTTTCATACAGGATCTTTAGGACATACTACGAAAAATATAAACTACAAGTTCAATGGTCATTTGTTTCCTGTGTAGCTACCTTGCTCTAAGTGGGGTGACTACTTAAATTTAGTTTGGTAGGACTGCATTCAGTCTAGCGGATTGTGTAGTCTGTACTCATTTGGCTTTCCCTAAGGATTCTGCTATTGATTGTATCTGCTGCTGCTGGCTGTAGCCTTGTCACAGAGCACAGCAACCAATAGTGGAATGTTATGGCTATCTATGTTTCTCCAGCCAATCACTAGGAGTTTCATGGCCAGTGGTGCATGCTGGGAAAGGACATAAGTATTTGGGTCTGACCTATGAGAACCTCTTTCTCCCCCAGGCCTCCTGCCTGGGGCAGGTGCATTATGAGTGAGCTGTCTCCCATTTTTCACTTCTGGCGGCCGGACCATTTTTGCTATTTGTTTTCTTACATGTTTGCTTTTTTTCACTTACAAATTTGAATGTTAGTACAAAAAACCCATAAACCATAGATCTTCTGAAAGCACAGGACCTGCAGAAGTATGAGACTGTGCTTATGACTTGATAAAATGAAGTGACCATAAATGTACAGCCTGTGAAAATGCGGCGCATGTAAGAGTTAGCAAGCCAGCCTGCTGCAAGCAGCTCTGTCCCGTTGTGTATGTTGGCTGCAGTAAAAGGGTTAATGGCTCATTCACATGGCGGTGACACTTGGTAAACATGCATTGTAAGTTTCCTTAGCAGGGAACACAGCAGAAGCTGTCTGCCTTCAGGCTCGCTCTATTGAATTAAACCTGGGAGGGAGCCATATGGAGGGAGGGGCAGAGATGGGGGAGGAGTCATTGCCCTGACTCTTTTCTTTGGGTGTGTAACTTTCAGTTTGGCTTATTCAGTCATGCAAGCTAAAGGCTTTTTACAATAGGAAGGAGGTAAGGCGAAATTAAAACTGTGAAATGAAAAGGACGCAAATGCTCCACCTGCTGGCTGGATACGTAAATACAAAATATTCATCCGCATGATTTTAAATTTATATGATCACAAAAAAGCACCACCAGAGTAATCAATGACTATAAAGACATGTTTCACTCTCACATCCCTGGCACCAGAGAAAAACTAAAATATTTGCTTAAATGCTGTTTAACTATGTGTCTTCCTCCAGGTAGATGTCTAAAGAATAATAAATAATCTTTAGTTAAAACAAATCCTATCAGTATTATACATGATAATGGAACTTACTGTGTCTTGTGAGAATAGGATTACTTTCTTTTATCATTAGGTACTATGCATCTGAGTTACAGTGACTACATGGCAGCAGTAAATACATTTACAGAACATGAAGTATCAGACTTTATTAAATAGATTGTCTAGAAATATCATGTTCCTTATGTGATCACGGTTGTTAAGGATCGTGAAGTTCCCAAGAGCGTTTGGTTGCCATGGAAACCTACTTCCTTTTTAAAGAGATCATCTATTTTACCAATTTCTTCACTTCATTCGTCTGGCTGGATCCCAGGTCAGCCTGTCCCTATAAAACCTGAAGGTATCGTGTCCTATCATTACAGGGTTCAGTAGGTTCCTTCCTGTTGTTATAAGTTTAGCTTTGTTACTATTTTAGGTTCAACCATCTCTTTACAATGCATGAATCTTCTCCATTCCACAAAAATAGAGAGAACATTGGGCCCAGCTCTAAAGGGCTTGTATATTTGGCTCCTACCCTCATGCAAACAGCATGCTTACCTAGACCTAGCCAGGAGCTACATTCTGATCTACTGATATTATTAAAATGGAATGTGCTCTGGGCAGCTTTATTTCAGAGAAACAAAAAGTGTATATTTAAAAGAGTTCACTGCCTCCCAACTACCAAACCAGAGAAGCATTATTGGCCACTAATTTCCTCTCAATGGTATCTGTAATGGGTAACGGGAAGGGAAGCCATAGCTCTGACTTGGAGCTGAAGTCCTAAGTAACATTATGTTATTGGGGCTGCATGGGCTCCTTGGATGCAAATAGGATCTCACTAACACTAAAAGGGAAATGGAGACATTGTTAGGTCAGCTTATCTTGTATATTAGTTATAAACATTAGAAGGATCTGATAAATTCACTTTAAAGCAGACCTTCAATGACAATGTAAGGTCTGCTTTACCGCTAGTCACCTTCCTCCCTTCCTTTGTTTGAAAAGCTCTCTCTGAAGAAGAAAAAAAAAAGTAAAAAAGCCTACCTCGGCCTTGACGTCCAACACTTATGGGAGACGTGGGCAATGTGCCTTACTGCTAATCTCATGGCTGCTGAAAATCCCATGAAAATATACTCCAGTAATAGACTAAAGGATTTCGAGTACCATGCTTTCCCAGGAGGCAGCTTTGAGGTGTGGCAATATCACCTATTCCTTCCAGAAGCATCAGAAGCCAGGGAACTGTATTTTTGAAACATTTTTTTGCCAAATATTTATATTTAAGGGGTTTTTGAGGGGTGGGGGACTGTCAGTAATGCACTTTTCATTTTAGCACAAAATTAGGGATGCATCGATATGGGTTTTTCGGTATTGAGTACCAATATTTTTTTTCCGGTACTCGCTGATACTGAGTACCGGTGCTTTATGCCCCGAATATCAGGAAGTCGGGCGGCGGATCATGACCCATCGCCCGGCTTCCTGATTGCCTGTGAAGCCGGTGTTCTAGCGAAAGAACACCGGCTTCACTTGCCTAGGCTGCCTGACCAATCAGGAAGCCGGGTCATTACGTGCCGCCCAGCTTCCTAAATGGTTAGGAAGCCAGGTTGCTTAGCAACACGTAAAGTCGGCTTCCCAGTCAATCAGGAAGCTGGGTCATAACCCACAGCACGGCTTCCTGATTGGAAAGGAAGCCGGCTCCATGCTCCTTTCCGGTTTCGTAGGTAAGTATCGGAGCATTCCGGTTAGTATGAGTACTCGCCCAAATACTCCGTATTGGCAACGATACTAGTATCGGTGGATCCCTACTCAAAATCCTTTGGGCCTACCAGCCATGGCCGATGAGCAGAGCCTGCATGCAATGCTCCACTGAAGATGAACAGGGGTAAGAATATTCTTAAAGGCTAGAGAGGGGAAAATCATAATGACTGTTCTCAGAAGTACCATGCTGAATTTAAAGAAGAACTGTAGGCAAACTACATTTATGCAACAACATAACCAGTCGAGTAATCTAAACAACCCTCCCAGTGAGCATACAGCCCAGTAAAGGACCACCCTAGCCTGTGATTAATAAGTAAAGGAGCAGCACAACACCGATAAGGATATCCTTGGGCTGTCCTTCCTGTTAGGAGTCTTCCTATGTTAGGTGGACAGCAATGACCAATGAGTAGGAGTCTAACTGGCTTACCGTTCTGCCCATCCCAAGCCCTGTCTAGCTCCAGCTAGGCAGGGAATTCTAGGAAGTGAATATAAACAGACTGAGGTATTTTTACATTTTACATTTAAGGATTATGTCTGCCAGGAGTTCTGCCTTTTATAAATAAAAACAAAACCATAATTAATCATTTAAAATATTATACATAATGTGTTCAGTTAGACACATGTCAGAGCATCTAAGAAAACACATACGGATAGCTTTGCTCTGCCTGAAAAATACCTGACATTCCTGCATATATTCAGGTCCATCAGCCCCTGTAAAATTAAATATGCTATAAAACTTGATGCATAAAAAAAATCCTTTTTTAAAGAAATGTTTGCAGTATGACCTCACCACATAACATTGTTATTTAGCATATTATTTCTACAGAATTACATGCCAGAGTTTCCAATGGTAATGCCTGGTCCATATGTGGTTTGTATTCCCTACATAGAAGTGAATTCTGGAACAGAGATATCCGAGTAAAATTAGACTGCATATATTTAGATTTTCTCTTGGTTTTATCTTTCTCCCATACTGTCTCTGAGATCTTTTGCAATTAACATACTGTAGATGTTTTTGCAACCCAGACTTTGGAGGAAAGGGGTGGCTGAAACTAAATGTCACATTACCACCAAGCCAGGAAGTTTCAGTTTAGCATGCCACATTGGCAGGACCAAGCAGTCTACACCAGATCATAAGATGGGTAAAGGTTTTACACTTTTGTACACAGCTGAGGGAACAACAATAATAATAAATCACCAGATTATTCTGTAAGATTGTAATGTTCTCATGCAAAGTCTAATTTAACGGCACTATACTTTTGTGTATATGACTCCTACACATACTTTCTTCTAGTCTGGCATATAAGATGTTCTTACTGGAGTACCTAGGGCCAGCTGTCTCCGGTCTTCCTAGTTATTTAGAGTGCTAAGACGCCCTTTGGTAATCTTTCTGGTGAATTTAAGTATTTAAAGGTAATTACACTGCTCTCTTTAGCACACATAAAACAAGAAAGACAAGCATCAGGTGACAGGGACTCTTTGTACAAAGACCTGAGAGAACCCAGTTGCATGTTCAAAAGATGGACAGCTATGAGAGACA